ATAAATCGTGCGGCGATACACGATTTCGTATTGCAATACTATTAGAAATATCGTGTATCGTACGATATATTTTTTTCATAATAAGGGCTATTATTCTAATATACTACATTCAATATAAATAATTTTAGCAACATTTTTGAAATTTTCACCAACGAAAAGTTGTACATTTAATAAAAAAATTTACAATTACAAACATAATATTTTACTATATTTGAAGAGAGTTACTTCGTGCAGCAGTTCATAGTAAGAAGAATGCCGCTTACAAATACAAGTTATATTTGGCAACTAATACATTTCCAAAAATAACTTCCTAGAAAAATTTAAAATAACAAAAAATTAATAAACTTTTGATTAGTTTTATTTTTGTAAATTAATTATGTTCGACACTTTAAATTATTGAAGTATTTTTTAAGCAGTAAGCGTGATCTTGCCCTGCCAAAATTCAATCTTTGTATTTCTAACATACATAGTACACAAAACAACACAGAAAAAGCAACACAGAAACTTTAAATTTTTTTTAAAATAACAAAATCTTATTCTAAATCTTAATTTTTTCCAGATTGAATACAAAGAATCGGAAGTCTAAATTTTGGCATACATCGAAGTGCTATACCGAAGACAGTTTTTGTAATGACGCAAAAGAACTACTTATTTGAAGCTCCTCAAAAAAGTAGCTTGTTGTGTATACTTACAAAAATATAGCACTACAAACTAAATCTAGAACAACTTTAGTTAAATTTTTGGTAAATTTTCTTTTTGAAATGTTCGATAACAATAATTAGCAATTTCTTTCCAAAATATTTTGTTGATAAGCTGTTAATGTTTAAAATTATATTAATTTTCATAAATATATAAACATATATTTATGAAAATATATGTTTATATATACTTATATATATTTATGAAAAGTTTATATATACTTATAAACATATATAAGTATATATAAGGAAGTCATAAATATATAAACTTTAAACACCGCATTAATTTTAAACAATAATTTTAAAAATAAACTTAAAGGCGTTGGTTCCTTTTAAAGCAACTTAATAACAATAGGTTTTTACTTTCAATATGAATTACATAAAACGAATCAAATGAAAAAAATCGATTGATCAAAAATAGTGTTTGTTTTAAATTTCTATTTCATTAAAAGGGTCATAAGCTTTGATATAGGAAATATTATTGCTATTGAATAATATTTTATATGTAGAACGACTAATCACACCAATATTATAGAAATATATAAAAAGAATTCAGTAAATATATGTGGACACTAAAAAATTTCCCTTCAAACATATTATAACAATCAATTTCCAAAAAAAAAAACAATACAAGTTTGACGTATTTAAAGTTCGAAAAATAAGAACACATGCGCAAAAAAAAATTAAATATTTAAGTTTCTTTTCGAAAAAAAATGAAAACTAGCAATATAAAAGATTTTTTTATCTTTTTTCTTGTGTTCGTTCTAATTTATGTTTTAAAGTAAGGAATGTTTTTAAGGTAAAATGCACAGATCCAATAATAAATAGATAGCTAGCAAATAAAAATTTTTAAAGTCAACATAAAATATGTTGCATTTTTGTTTTTATTTTTTACAACATAAAAAGTGTTGCCAGAAAAGGTTTTAAAATATGTTTATAAAATATGATTATAGTAAGAAATTTATGTGAGTGATTTTTTCAATAAAAAATTTATAATTTTTCAACAATATATGTATACATATCTTCTTTTTAGACATACATACATAATTATTTCTTCAAAATGAAAACAAATTGTTTACTTAATATTTCTGTATATTATTATATTAAATTTTTGACCAGAAAACAAAATAGTTTTGGTTAGATGTTGACGAAAATTTTTCTTCTTAAATCTATAATGTTAGGCGTTTTCCTTCATGATAAAGTCTAACTTTTACATACTCAGATGCTTGATTACGTATTGTACACAATACCTTTAAGTTGCATGAAGAAATTCCCAGTAAGTTAAATTATTAATGTAATAAGCACATTACTTATTATTTCACAACTATGATGTTGTATTAGTAAAATTCATAACATACTCAGATGCTATTATTTTTATTAACTCACTTAATCTGTGATTATCGTGCATCCTTTATTGCGAAATCAGTCGACTGTAATCGTTCAAGTTTAGAATCGGTACGTCAAATGCAAATCAAATCGTAAAACATGATGGTATAAAATTCAATAATGCCAAAACATGCAACAGTTACGAGTACTTTAAATTATGGATCAGAATGCATATATTTGTGTACTTAAGCATAAACAAGTGCATAAATGAATAATTAAAATGTCATTAGACTTTAAAATTCTCAAATTAAAACCTAGAGTCAACACTTTTCTAAAGCAAAAAAAAGAACTTAAAAAAAACAAGGAAAGAAATTTTTCTTCATCGTATATGTAAACATACGCTACGTATTTTGATTTCATTAATGGACACTAAAATCTAGAAACCCAAAGACTTCATAATACACAAGATAAAATATGTGAAAGAAATTATATTATTATTTCTTTCACATATTATATTATTATATTTATAGAACTGCGCCATTGCCTTTCTTTACATAATAAACGCTGTCATTGCTAAAAAATATATTCCAAGACAATGGAATGTTGCTGCAGTTATTATGGTTTTGAAGGCAGGAAAGATAAAAGCCTATAAAGGTTCATAAAGACCAATATCATTGCTTTCATTAATGTCAAAAATATTTAAAAAACTTTTTTTGCTAAGGCTAACAACGTTAACAGAAGAAAGGCATCTGATACCATCAAAACATTCCACTATAGACCAAGTTCATAGAATCTCTAATATCATAGAAGACGCCTTGGAAAACAAAGAAATCGTTGCATCATAACAACATAAAGTTTGTCATAAGGGGCTGATCTATAAACTAAATAGTTTTTTACCCGAAGATTATTGTGACATTTTATAATCGCGCTTAACAGAAAGAACTTTTCGCGTCTAATACGATGTTGAATATTCAAATTTAAGACATAATAAGGCTGAATTCCTCAAGGTAGTGTGCCTGGACATATTTTATATTTATTGGGGACATACCAACAAATGGTAATTATACCAAAACTACTTTTGCAGATGACACTGCGATCCTCTCGAGTAAAACTGTGGATAAAGCTAGAAAGACGCAGTCAACCAAATTAGCCAGTGAACTAAGATGGAGAATAAAATTAAAAGAAAACTTAGTTCATATTAATTTTACGTATTAAAATGTAGATCCAAAAAGAATGCTTATAAGCTCCAATCTTATCCAATACGGTAATTCAGCCATACTTTGGTGTGGCGTAAGATACCAAATTAAAATGTAAAGAAGAAAAAATAGCAAATGAAGATCAAAATTCGTAAATTCGATTGGCTAATTGGCAAGTATTCTAAATTTAATATCCATAACAAATTATGGATATTATCAAACTTTTTAAAGCTAGAGCTAATAAACGCTCAAATGCTGATATGAAAAAACTATTGACAATAAAAACTCAAAGTAAAGAGATTGAAACCGTTTGACCTGGCGCAATAATAAACATCGTAGTGCACTAACTGAAGTAGTTGTGGAGTAGAATAGTCGATCATATTCTTATTGGTAACAAAAAAACCAATTAAGAAAATAAAATTGCTATATAGGTTGTGTTAAGTTAGTTGCAATAAAAATTATATTATTATTTTAATTATTATTTCTCCTTTCAGTGTTTTAGCTATTATGTTCTTAGCTTTATATTTGTGTAGCAAGTCTTATTTTTTCGGAAACATACAGCTTTCAACAATATTAGCATGTTTATTAAGGTAATATTAAATTTTAAATGTTCAAAGGTTAAATCGCAGTTGATTTCAATTTATTCAGCATCTAATAATAGAACAATATAAAGGAAAGTATGTAAAACATTGATTAACAAGTTAAGATATAACTTTATCGTTTTTACAACAAATCAAATTAATTTAACTGACTTATCAAATTGTATTAAATTTGAAATGAAGCGTGATCAATGTTGATCCAAATAACTTCACTAATTAAGAAGCGAAAATCAACGAACTATAGAAAAAGATGTAGAATAAACCTTTAGCTCTTAAAATAAGCAGTATAAAAATAAGTAGAATAAAACTTTAGCTCATAAAACAAAAATTTATTTTGGTACATATGTATGTATAATACTAAAATCATGAAATATGTCCTTGTTATTTTATTATATTAAGCTAACAGTCCCCTGAGGAGGTACACTCTCTTGTATTTGAGTATGTATGTACGTTGGTATTTACCTATTACGTCTTCATTCAAAACATTTTTGGAAAACTTAGAAGTTTATTCTAATTAGAAGTTAAAAATTAAATTACATATTAAGAAATATTAGCAAATAAATAGGCCATTATCAAAATGATTGTGTGGAAATGTATCATATGCAAATATGTATATAAAAATACCTTCGTGAACAGATTTCCAAAATTTTGAAAAAAAATAATAAATAACTAAACAAGTGAATACATATTATATCCTAAATATCGATGACCTCAGTTTCAGTAAATACATTTTATTAATAAAATAATATAAAAATTGTAACTCACTCGCTTTATTAGCAATTTGTTATAAATTATTATAAATAAGCATTAGAAGAGTCAATATATGCTGCAAATTTAAAATTGCAAAATGTTTTATTATGATGACGCATTTTTTCTTTGCAATTTTTTACTAATTTTCTTAGCCGAAACATGTAAGATCCTATATGAAACAATCATTTAATTTAATATTCATTTTTTTTCATAAAAATTATTTTGATGATCTCATATTTTAATCATGCAACTCATTTTTCCCAACATTACATTGCGTGTAAATAATATATGTTCATACACATTTGAGATTACCATAAAACTTATTAAAAATCTTATTCTCTATTTAAATATTATTTATTAAATCTTATTCTGGAATACAATTATGAAGAAACTGAAATACAAAAAATAAGGTATGGATGTAATTTACTCACCTTTTTGCGGTATATGAAAATCAAATTCACAATTTTTTTCAAGTAAATTTTTTCTTCGAATGTTTTTCAATTTTAACCATACGTTAGACGTCAGTTTGGACGATCTGAACTTAATAACACATCAGAGACACTTTTTCTGGAATAAATTATTTCTTAAAATTATCTTCAATTAACCAAAGCAAGAATTTTATATTTATTTCTGCTGTTCCAGATCAAATCCCACAAAATACTTTCAACTTAACAAATTAAACGTCAATATGCACAATATTTAAAAGGTACGTGAAGTTTATAAAATTGAAATTTCTTTATCTTTGTTTTGCAATGGCGTTTTTTTTCTTTTTATTGAATACTATGAAACAACAAATATACCATGATCTCAATTTAAATGTAAAATAAACTGTTTTGTTTTAATTTTTTTCTTTTCACTGCGTACAAAAATTTTCGGGAAAAATTTAAAAAAAAAATTAAATGCAAAAATTAGCTTTTAAAAGAAAATTTTTACTAATGCAAGATTAAATTTAAATCTTTGCAAAATTAAGAAATGTCCTCACTTCATTATTAAAGCATTGTCATACCGACTGTCATAATGTTTTAAGTATTGACATTACAGGAACGCCAATTTTTGCTTTTATATGAGCGCTTACTGTTTTTTACTTTAAGAAACAAATTATAACGTCGTTAGTTACTGTTTACATTATATGATGTAATGAAAGTCACGTTCGTTAAACTTAAATCTTTATAAGTATATTTCATGTTTATTCTCATTAGTTTTACGGGTGGGTTGTTAAAAATTAATTAGCGGTAATTAGTTTTTTGTGAAAGATTGGAGTGGTCAGTTATTTTTATTTTAGTTACACATAATTTAAATAGAAAATTATTATATTTTAACGTAAAATCGGAGCTTATGAATCTATGATTAAATCAAACTTTGTCGTAGGTTAAATTATAGATTTTGTCGTATATGGAGATAAAACCACGCACATGAAAGAAGAATCAGAGGATCTTTCCTTACCATCACATTTTTCGTCAAGTTCTTAAAATATGATTTTTATTTTTATTTTTTAATTCCATGTTGCCAATGTATAGAATATTTTCCAAATACAAATAAATATGGGGAAACAATTTTAAAAGAGCAAAATTGGTCAGAAGTAACTCATTTGGTCCAAAGTGATAAAGTTGCTTTTTGCTGTTTACGATTTTTTTGTACATACTCATTTTCAGAAACATTTTCAAAATAAGCAACTTTGTTTCTATATCACTTGCACCTCTATAAAACCGTAAATTGAAAAAAACACAGTGAAGCCAAAAATTTCTGGCAAGTCTCTTTCTTTATTCCAAGCAAGGAATTAGAAATACTAGAAATTATTACAATTTAGAGTTCTTCAGAAATTTTCAGTAAAATTTAAAAAAAAAAGAATACTATTTTATAAAAACTTATAAAAAAAATATAACACTTGAAAAAAAGAAAAAAATCTGTTGAAAAAGAAAAAGGTGTATAGTTCTAAATTGTTATAAAAACAAAATTGTTATAAATTGTAAATAAAAACACACATGTAAATATTATTTATTTCAATTATTAAAAGAAATATTTATTCAATAGTGCTTTGATTAATTCATAATTTGTAATCTTATTAAGTTTTTAATTTTGCAAAGAAAGCATCTGTTTCGGTTTTAAAATAAAATTGCTTTGAATGACATAATTTTACCAGAACCGGATTTTTTTTAAGCAAAATGTGTTTGTGTATGATAAAATGTTGCATAAAACCGTGATTTCAATCATGCGCTTACGACGTAAACTTTATAAAGCATCACATTCTTGAAAGTTTAGTAAAAGTTCTTGACATTGCACACTTTTCCTGTATGCGTTCTATACTTAGTGGATTCATAAAATAAAAGTAAATTGAGTATCGAAAACATCGAGCACGCTTTTGTTATACATGTCATATAAAAGTTGCCAGAAATAACCAAATAAATAAACTAGCAATAATTATATATATTCAGCTATAAAGTGCTAGTTATTAAGTATTTTTCTTAAAATGCAGTAATATGCTATGTTTTTAATAATGTGGTAAGGTTTGTTAAAATTAATACTTGCAAAAAACTTTAAATTGAAATTCTCAAACAAACATCAAAGTATGTTAATATTGTAGAAATTGTATTCCAAAATGTATCAAAAGCTTTAGCAGTTTTTTTAACAATGAAAAGGTATTGAAAGCTCTAAGGTATTTTATACGATCTTTGTTTTTGTATAATTAGAGTTTTCCTAGAAATGATGAAATAAAATATATTTCCCTGTATATTGTGAAGATCTGGTCACTAAAAAAATATATGAAGATGCCGTTGAATTCAGTAAGTAAAATAAAATATTAGCGTGAATTATTTATATTCTAAAATATTTTATTTTAGAATAAATTAGTATGTGAAGCTCAATTAATAAATAAGGAAGAATACGACAACATATCATCCATTTCAGCTAGTAATAATCACCGCATTAATTAAAATTGGTTAAAAATTATACTGTTTAGAGTCACTAAAATTTACATGTATTTATATTTATTGTTATTAATATTGTTTAGAGTTGTTCAGCAAAATTGTCAAACAAAACTGTTTGATAATAATATAAGAAATTTTTTAACAAAATATGTTCATTTTCGAGAGTCATAAAATATTGTGATATTAAAATACTTATAATTATAATTATTTATAAAATCATTTTATAATTAATTTTACATATTTATAAAATTAATTTATTCAAATGGAAAAAAATAATGCGTTTTGTTTAAATTTGTTTTTTTTTCACAGATATCTAAAATTATTCTTCATACAAATTACATATATTTTATAGTAGAGGTCCGACAAGAAAATAAAATAAATACGCTCCTTTTACGACTTTGACAATGCTCGGAGCAAAGAAAAAGACAACTAGAAAAAATTTGGCTTCATTTAGTATTTTTAATTTGTTAGTTCCAAGTGTTGTTAAATTGAAATTGGTATTTAATGATAAATCAAAATACATCTATTTTAGTAATAATTTGAAGTAAATTTGTTTGCAACTTGCAAACCCTCAAAATATTCCATTTTAATTAAGAAATAGACGGTAATAAGAGTTGTTTAGGCAAGAAGGAAACAAGATATTCTAAACAAACGATTGTATCAAAAATTTTTTTATTTTAATAGAAATTAAATTGATTTTTCATAAAAGGTAGGTAAAAATATTCGAATATATGAAAAGAATGGCTATAAGTTTAATATTTCATATAATGTTGTATACTTAGATATGCATAGTTGATACACATTATAAGATGTAGTAATACGTATCCATCCCGTTTATATGGCTGCTTCAAGCGTTTGAAGCCTATTTTATGTCTACTTGACAAAAGTTACTTGACTTGAAACCAGGCTCACTCAACTCAAGAAAAAATTTTCTTATTCGACTTGAAAAGATAATAATGATTTGAAATGTAATAACTAAACGTCGTTTTCGGGCTTATTAGCTGACATAATAAAAACGCAGCTTCAGTTTCCAGCTGATTTTACGACAAGTACTCTTTCACGTCAAGCCGCAATGTAGACGAAGTAAAGAAAAAAAGCAATTTATAAAAAAAATGCGTATTAACGATATGAGTGTTTGAAACAAAAATAAAAAGTTCATAGTTTATATTTATTACAATAAATGTAATGACAATTACTAATTATAAATTTTACATTTTTTAAATATTATTTGTCTTTTTCAAGTTAACATATAAATAACATATAACATAAATTATAATTTTTTTTATTTTAATAGTCAAATTTTGCTTTTAAATCGCCTCGCTTGTATAATACGGATACACCATTTTTGGCACTTTGTAGTGCAATAAATTACAGAAATGAAACTTCGCTTTTAAAATTCTTAATATAGGAAAGCCTATACTTCAGATACTGAAAAATAAATAACTCCCGCTTTTAAAAATACATTATAAAAAACGGGTAGTTATTTATTGCGTACTCTTTCCCTCTTCCAAAAATTCTTATGTGTATAAAAATGAAAATAGAAGGTATTTTTCTTAACTTTTTTATCTAAGAGATTTTTTTGTATACAAAAATTGGTGAGTGATTGCATTAGTGTGATGTAAACGGAGAGTCGAACTATTTCTTGGTAAATATACTTTGTTCAACACCATTGAATATTAAATTCAGATTAAGATTGAAGCTTTTCTAGTAGTGTCAATTGTCAATGCTCAATTGACACGAGATTTTAGGTTTTTTATTAATTCGGTAATTAAAAAATCAATTATTATAAGCAATATGTTATGTTATTATATTTATTAGATTTTAGAATTGAAATATTTTTCAGCCATGGATAAATGTTTGAACCTAAATATGAATGGTAATGACTCAACAAATAATGCTTCAAACTCTCATCAAAAAGACAAAGTATTGAAAAATAGGCATTTAATATGTCAAAAAGAAAATATGATGAGCCTGTTCTTCAATTTGGCTTTGCATATGAAAATCATCACGATAATGAACAACCTCTCATTTATGAACTCATGAACCGTTAATGAAAAATATTTACTAGCGTCATATGAAATATTTTACTGCATTGCTTTTGAAGAAGATCTTCTATTATCTGCCGCTATTAAAATGGTAGAAAGGCTACATGGCAGTAAATATGACGATGACATACGGAAAATCGTGCATCGCTAAAAAATATTGAAGAGGTGTTACGTCCAGTGTTAAATATTTAACCGAGAATTGATTTGCTGTGCAATAACAAATTGTTACATCCAACACATTAAACTCTTTCATTTAAGCTTATTTTAATACGGAATTCTCTATCATTTATGTTCCTTTTGTGCAATTTTATATTTTATGTTCCTAAATGAATTACATATTTTCATATGTATATTGTTACTTAACAAATAAATAAACTCAGAAGAAAACTGATAACAGCTTTGAGCAAAATGTTCAATAAAAAACTTGAAACTAACATAGTACTTTATTCCGTATTTTATGTACTTTTATGTAAACTATAAATATTTTTCGTAAACAAATCAAAATACCTCGAAAACCGAACCGGCCGATTTTACATTTCTTATCACATCTAAGAAACCATTCATTTTGATCAAATAGAACAACATTCATTTTCATTCCATTTCGATTAAAAATTTATTTCTAAATTAAAGTTAGTAAAAGAAATTCAACAATTTTAAACGCATTCTTGTATTAATCGTACTTTTTGTTTTGTTTCATGTCAGGATTCCAAAATGAACGAAGACTTATAATAGAGAAGAATAATTTGCAAATTCACTGCTAAAGCAGCGTTATTTGAATTGCTGAATGAAGCTATACTTGTATATCTATTTTTATCAGACAAAAGCCCTTTAAAATTAAGCATTAATCTATGATTGCATTATGTTGCACAATTCATTCAATTTTTCCCAGTAGCTTTTTTATAAACATAAAACTATCGAAGACTTTAAGATTTTCTTGCTGATCTTGCACATAGTTGATAAATTTTCTAGCTGCTAATAATTACTTAATTATTTTAACTGTTTAAAAACTAGAAAGAGCAAAAACGTTTGAAAGTTATTTACAAATTATTTTGTTGATTTGCTAAAGCCATGATTTGGGAATAAATTACTCTCAAAAGTATTAGGGATATTTAAAATTCGTCAATTAATACATATTTCTAATAAAATATATTATATCAAACTATAAGTCTGCAAATAATGTATTTTGAAACAAGATTTTACGGCTACTAATTCTAAAGAAACATGTGATTTTGTTAGAAAAAAATTTTGTGTTGCAAATAAAGGCATAGATAATAATAATAACTAATAAAATGTTTTAATACATTGAATTATATAGAAATATATCAGGATTTTGATTCTACTACGATTTTTTAGTTTTTTTTAAGTGAAATAATGGGGTTATGTGTACTTTCACAAGAGGAATAAAAGCTTATCATTAGTTTAATTTTTTTAAATTTTGTAAATTGAAAAAAAGGATAAAATTTTGTAGAAAAAGAAAAAGGTGCATAGAAAAATAAATAGATGTTTTACACCTATTACACAAAGAAATATTTATTTAATAGTGTTTTTTTCTAAGCAAAATTAGTTTGACTTTAATAAGAATTTTTTTAAATGTAACTTGTTTTGTTAGCATTTCGCTTCATAGAATGAAAATTTGGTCAACAAAGAAATATATATAATATATAGCACCGACGTCTTTGAATGAGATTAGTAAAATAAAATATTGGTGTGAGTTACTTATAAAATGTATTGTTTTAGAATGAATGAATATGTACATATGTAAGTAGGTAAAGCTAGTTGATTAATGAGGAAGTTTATGACAATATACATCTACTTTAGTGAGTAATAATCAAAATAATAATTAAAATTTGTTTTAAATTATATAGTTTAAAAGTCATTTTGTGCCTGAAATTCAAAAAAATTAATAAAACGTCACTGAAATAACGTCACGTTAAAAAATGTTTTACTAATATGGTCATCAACTACATTGCAAGTAAAAACTAAGATGTCAAAAAAATATGTTCAATTTCTTTTCTTTTAATGTTCATTGTAATATAATAACATGTGCATATATTTAATTTCAATTAAAAAACAAATTTATACAAAAAAAAAAAAAAATAAATTAGTTTGTTTAAATTAAAATTCATCATTTGAAATTGAACAGATTAATATTTGTTCAATTTCAAATGATGTCGAAGAAAACCGCTTGCGGCAAAATAAGATTTATTTAGGCAATTTTACTGCCGGTTGCTAAATTTTCGGCGGTAATTTCGCTTAATAGCCTGCAGTCTCATGTAAATATGGCTTAATAAAAAATAAAATGAAGAAATATGAAGATAAAAAACTTGGAAAATTGAAAAAAAAGAATTATTTAGTATTTTATAAATAGCAAAATCTAGAAGACTTAAAATTAAGACTTCGAGCGTGTTATGAAAATTAACATAACACATAAGCAATTTGAACTAATATCGAATTTGTACGTATTGTCATTCTCTGTGTGGATGCAAGTTTGCATTTTGTCATGTTGGGAACCTCAGTAAAACTTTGAAGTTAAATCAAAAATTCTAATCTTTGCATTTCATAAAGCCGGTGTGGCTGTCAGTCACTGAAAAAAAATTTATTAGACTTTTAAAATAGAGTATAAATTCATCTCCTTGAACTTTCTTTGCCATATTTTGTCAATAGAAATCAATTATTTATGGCATTCAAATAAAGATAAGGAAATAAGTATTCTTTCCGTTCTGCTATTTGCTGTGGTGACAAATAGATTACGTGTATTAAGTTGTAAACTATGCGTTGAAATATTTTTATTTGATTTCTTAAGAATTTTACCCTTTAGCTGAAACACTAAAATGTTTTTGAAATATTTTTCAATATTTACAATATTTTCTGTTGTCTCCGCATTACTTTCAATTATTTGCCAAGCATACTTTGCTTTGAAACACTTAAATACTGTTACAACGATATTGGGTGAGTAAATATAACATGATATATATGCTGACTGTAATATAAGTCTTTAAAATTCCAGCTAGCCTTTTAGCAATAGAAAATTTAGGTCATGGGGGTTTGGCTAATCCTAAACAGAAAGTCGCAGTCGGCTATGGTGCTTGTGTAGATCTTATAGTTAATGGAACAACCTTTCTAAATTTTTCTGATTTTGCTGTTGGTAATGAAGAAAACTTTTATATTGATGATGTTACAAATTATAAAGAATTCATACAGAGTTTTGGCTATTATTTCAAAAACGGAGCTGCCGCCGAGCGTTTTACTCCTGACAAATTCTTTTTTCAAAATTTAGTGAATAAAGCCAAAACAGAGCATGATGTAAAATGGGTTTTAGGAGGAAATGCCCCTGTAATGGGTATTCGTTTTCTTGCTGAAGGTTGTAACGTGTTACTCGGATCAAGAATGTCTACGAAATTAAGGAAACATTTACCGGAAAATATACAACTAATTGGAAATGAAGTTGATGAAGACGATATTCATTTAATATTGGAATATAAAGCAAATGAAGAATGGGGTGATCTAATAGCGCCACGGGCAAATCGCTATATTTTACACAATGATAAAAATAATCCGCAATTGAGCACTCTTGAAGAATTTGGGGAAACTTTAAAAAAGTTCAAACCAAAACTTTTGGTTGTAAGTGGTTTGCAAATGATGGATAGTTATAAATACGAATCAGGTCTGCAAGTAGTCTTTGGTATATAAAATAATTAATTATGAATTTTCAGGAGTACGTGAAGAAAGGTTAGAAAAATTGCGAAAACAAATATCTGCTCAGCCTAAATCAACATTAATTCATTTTGAGATGGCGTCATACGTCGAACTAAAACTTTTGCAATTATTATCTGAAAATATTTTGCCATATTCGGATTCAATTGGAATGAATGAGCAAGAGTTAGATAATCTGCAGAAAGTTCTGTCAGATGGCCAAATTTCGTTTGCTTCTGATTCAAATCCTAGGGTTGCTACCGCTCTAGATCAGATGAGAAAAATATTTTTCATAATAAATAGCAATTATTTGCAAAATAGAGCTAAGAATTCAAATTGCCGTATGCTAACCAGAATGCATGTCCACACATTAGCTTATCAAGCAATTTTAACGGTAAATGATTCCCAATGGACCAATAATAAGTTGGGGGCCGCGAAAGCCGCTTTAACAGCTAATAGATATGTGTGTGACTCTGATAGGGTAAGTAATTTGTTTTAGCATTATCAATATTTAAATAAACGTTGTCTTTTTTTTAAGATAAATCCAGATGCAGCCACTTTAATTTTAGATGAAAGTTTTGCAACTTCTGCTAATGGTATAGAGTTTGATGTCAATATGCCGAAGCGCATGCAATTAGACCCCAAAGATCCTGTGCCATGTTGGAATGAATCTATGGTATTTTCTAAATTTAAAAATGAAAAAATTTTGTTTCAAATATGCGTGGCACCAGTTTTAGTTTGCCGAATAGCAAAAAAAACTGCTGGAGCTGGCGACAATATTTCTGCATCAGGCCTTTCACATCAAATATGGTGAAAGCAACAAGTATTTTATGCAAAACGGGCTACTTACGTAATTTCATAGATAAATAAAAAATACTCAAGTTGAAGACGCAAGGAAATTTTTAAGTGTTCTTAATCATATTTTGATTTGATTACCATCGATATTGATAGATTGACAAAAATCAGATTCGCATTTTTTGTAATATAAAAACATAGATATTGGAACGAAAACAACTTTTTGTATAAATATAAGCTACAAGTCATACCATATATTTTATACAAAATGAATTTATTTGGTTCTCTTTGGAGAATGTAAAAAATAAATATAAAATATTTTAAAACATTTTATGAAAAATATAAACATAAAATTTTACCAAATGGACGATTAAGTTGTCGAATATATTTTTATATTAAGAAATACATGAGATTTTATCTCTTTTAAATACTTAATACAATTTCGAGTCTAGAATAAGCCTTACAAAAAGATTATTATAAAAATAAAAGACAAAGTAGCAACTTAAGTCTGATCACATTTTGAAAACAAAAATATTTAAAATTGTTGGATTTATTTAGATGAATTATGTTTTACCCTGTTCCTGTTATGTGAAATTTATTGTGTTCGAATACTAAATTCCTATAAAAACCTACATCATAAAACATTCCCTTTAAAAAATTATTTTTAATATGTATTAAGATAAAATTTATAAAATTATATTATAAATATATATGTAATATATGTGTAAACTTATGTTGTATACACATTAATTATATTTTGTACGTAGTTAAAAATCAATAAAAAAATACTAACGCTTAAAATTTTCAAAAAAAAAAGTGAAACATGGAATGGCAAATATGAAAAATTAAAATATTTTTATTAAATATACAAGTTTTATTTTTTTTGAAGTGATATTCTTTATTACATATTTAATATACATTTTATTGTATGTATATTCAATATAAAAACTGAATTTATAAAAATAGTGTTTAGTTTTATTGAAAAAATGTTTTATAAAAATAAATAATCTTATAATTTACATTTAATCCTATAATTTACAATATTATTCATATAATACTCTTAAAGTCCAGGCATTATATAGGCAATGTTGTCTAAAGTTTTGTGCATATTATCGCGCAATTTTTTGTCTGTATCTGTACCAACGTTTGGAATTGAACAAGTTAAACACATTAATGGTCCAAGAGAACACAGTAAACTATCAAGTAAAACTGATAAGCTTCCACTAACTGTAATTTGCCCCTCGTGCTCCTTCAGCCGCTCACCGATAATGCTTAAACTTTCCCCGAGTAAATTTAAATGTGCAGCAACATCTAAAGGCTCCAATCCCGTAACCTTATAAACCCCTGGTTGTATTTGGGGTGCATTCTTAACAGGTGATGTTTGAAATATTGAAAATGCTGTCTCCTCTAATGTGTCTTGCAACTCCTTTTCTTCCAGTTCTCTTTTACTAATTTCTTTCGCGGAAGAGTTTCCAAAGTGATCTTGCGGTTTATTATTTGGAATTTGCTGTACCCGTTTTGGTGGTCGTCCAACAGGGTTTCCTGTGGGTGCATATGGTGATCGATTTATGTAACTGGATGTTCTGAATAACAAACAAGTACTGTTACTTTTATTAATATTACCTTGGTTTAATTTAGCGTCTTGTTTTTTGTTTTTATTTGCCAAACGCTTTGCCTTTCGGCGCCATATAATTTTTTCTTGTGTTGGAACATTAGCCCACATTTCAGCCAACCTTCTTGTTTGATCTCCTTGACAAAAAAAAATGAGTAACAGATAGTTATTAATTTCACTTTCGATAGCTACCTGAATCAGTTTGTTTCATGTTAGAACGATTTTCTCGGCACCATAGCATATAAGCTGTAATTCGAGTTTTTCCTTTATCTTTTCTTGTCGATTTTCCATACACAACCTAAGAAATTTTTTATTTACTGTATGTACATACATATATTTTTATTGTATGTAATACAACTCTTATAACGTAAACTTTCAAATTTTCTCACCTTCCCGTCCTTAAGTACCTTTTTTTTATTGAATTTTTCTTGCATGTATAAACTTTTTCGTACAGTTGGATCCACCAAACTTTCGTCTAATTCTCCTTCTTCTGCCTCAACACCTTGTTCTATATCATCAGAATCATCTTCTGAAGCCGACACACTTTCAGATTCATCAGTTGCAACTGATTGAAGGGTAACTTTCCGGTTTTTTTTTGGTTTAGTATCAATTTCATCTGGATTTTGAAAATCCATTAGTTTTGAAGATTTTTTTCTAATCCGACCGCTTCGAGAAACTCCTAACATTTCACCTCCTAAAGTTAAATGCATAACTCATGAATTTTAATAAACATGTGCGTAAGGTACCTTTCTGATTATTTGTTGAATCCATTATATTTTTACCACTTTTTATGCGTGTTCTGATTTTGCAAAAAATTAAGGAAAACAAATACGTACTGCCAAATTCTCTTAACTCGACGATATTATGATGAATATGAATAATACATGTGTTAATGACATATATGTCTATCAGGCCACCAAGTTGAATTTTTTTCCGAAATTTTGAATCGGAAAAAATTACAAAAACAATTCTTAGTGTTTTATAATTATTTTTATGCTCAAAAACTTCACAAAAAAAATAAAAATATATTTCAATCGGCATACTTGAAAAGCATAAAACATTAAGAATTGTTTTGTAATGCTTTTCCGAATCAAAATTTTTGGAAATAAATTCAGCTTGGTGGCCTGATAAATATATATGGCATTATGTATGTGTACATTTCATTGGAGTAAAATGTAGGATTGGAGCAACAACAACGAAAAATCGGTATATATCGATTATTATAATATCGTTGAAATTAATGATAATATTTAGCGATATTTAAAGCATAAATTTTTCACTTCACTTCCATTATTACTTAATTCTTTCAATTTAAAAACCTTCACATTTAATCTAAAAACTCTTCCCTCTTTTCTTTTTTTTACCCTTAAATTTTCCATGATAAAAAATTTTAATAATTTGGTCCGCTTTGTTTTTTCAAGTTGAAACATCAACATTTCCATTAAAAAATATTGAAAAAAAAATTAAAATATTTTGAAAATCTGAATTCTGAGTTTTGTTTGGCTATGGAAAATAGTCTGAATACATTTATGACAGGAAAAAAATCGAAAATACCAATAATGGCCATTATTTTTGATGACGGCATATGGAAGAAACGATATCAGTACTTTTTTGCATTATTTGAAATACGCACTTTGAAAGTGAAAAATGTTGGAACCACAGCATGCAATGTACATAGAGCTAATACAATTATCAAATACGAATATGATATGATATTACTGTAAAGAATGATGTTCTTAGAAGTTTTGGAAAGGGGACATAGCTGCTCATTCCTTTAAGAAAGTAAAATTAATTTTTTAAGATAACTATAGCGCGGTATTACCTAATACCTTCAACTAAATATGCAAAGTGTAAACTAAACTACAAAATAATAGGTCTGTCTATCCCAGCATTTACACGTACAAGTTACTTGCAAGAAAGTTGCAATACATACAAAAATAACCCAGCATTTACACATACAAGTTACTTGCATGCAAGTTTGTATAATATTAATTGTCAATTAGTTTTTCGAAATGTCAAATTACTTGCTATTATGACGTAGGCGTTTAGCAAGTTAATTTTTGAAAATGTCTTTGAGAAGAAAACAACTAGCAATATATATAATTGTTTATAAATTTTAGAAACCATAAGTTTGCTAAGTTTAATTTTTTCAAAACAAAATTCAAAAATTTTAAATTAAAAAAAAAAAAAATCAAAACAACAAATTTTTTTTTGTGAATTTCTCAATATGTCAAATTACTTGCTCAAATTACTGGCAGCAAAATTTTCTTGCAAGTTGAACTGCAAGTAAACAAGCAAGTAGAAATATTTCAATATGTTAGTAAAATTTTTGTATGTATTGCAACTTTCTTGCAAGTAACTTGTACGTGTAAATGCTGGGTAACACATTGAAATATTTCTACTTGCTTGTTTACTTGCAGTTCAACTTGCAAGAAAATTTTGCTGCCAGTAATTTGAGGAAGTAATTTGACATATTGAGAAATTCACAAAAAAAAATTTGTTGTTTTGATTTTTTTTTTTTTAATTTAAAATTTTTGAATTTTGTTTTGAAAAAATTAAACTTAGCAAACTTATGGTTTCTAAAATTTATAAACAATTATATATATATTGCTAGTTATTTTCTTCTCAAAGACATTTTCAAAAATTAACTTGCTAAACGCCTACGTCATAATAGCAAGTAATTTGACATTTCGAAAAACTAATTGACAATTAATATTATACAAACTTGCTTGCAAGTAACTTGTATGTGTAAATGCTGGGTATGATAAAACTTGCAAGAACTTTAAAAAGAGTGACGAAATTTCTCTCAAAAAGAAAAAAATTCTAACTTAAAAAAAAATTAACCAGACAGAAAACTTGAAAAAACTTTTAAAAACTATATAAATAGATGATAAATGTCAAATTTCAAAGAATTTATCAAACATAGACCAATATTTTTTGGTTATACCTAAAACCGAATATTTTGTTTTTGGATTATAAAAGTGTGAAATTTAGAAAAACCATTTTGGTTATTTTATTTTTAATTGAAAAGTTTTGAAAAAAAAGTTATTCTTGATGGAAGTTTTTTTTTCAAAAATAATATCTACAGACATAACCAAGAAAAACATATGTTTCGACAGCTGTAAGATTTGAAAAGTTTTTAAAACACTAAATTTTACTTTACAAAACTTGAAAAAAAACTTTAAACTAATGCCATATACATAACATTTTGCAGCCCTCCAAGCTGAAAATATTTTCCCAAATTTTGTATTGGAAAAAATATAAAAACAATTCTTAATGTTTTGTTTTCAATGTATGCCGATTGAAATACTTTATTTTTTTTCTGAAATTTTTAAGTATTCTTTATTAATCTCATTTTATTTAGTATATTATATATAAAAGCCATTTAGATCAAAATTATTATTTTTTTGCTTTTTTCTTCAATTTATTTTTAAATTCTATTTTTTATTCAAAAAATTTACGCTGTTTGCGATAAAAATTGCAATTTTTTTTTTTAATGCATTTTTCAGATGGAATTTAACAACCGATTTTTTTGAAATTTAAATTTAAAATTTGAAAAAATATGTAGAATCAGTAGAGGCAAAAATATTGATCAATTTCCTTCACACAAATAAATTCCGACACCCTTTCCCTTAAAACTCCATGTAAATTTGGAATTTATTTTGGATTTGCTCTCTCAGCTTGAAGGCCTGTAGATTATATAGCATGGCATTATTTAAACATTTAGAAAATGAGAATGTCATATTTTGTCTCATTTTTGTTCAAAAAGTATTATCCCAGACAGTTTGTATGCGAAAACTTTATAAAGTTTTTAAAAGTTTTTAAAAACTTTCTTATCCCAGAACGACTTAATTAGTAGTCAATAAATAGTAAATAGGTACTCAAATATTTTAACCGTTATTGAAACGGTTTAATTTTTTAAATCTGATTTCTGTGTAGTCAAAATTTTCATTATAAATATTGTTGTTGTAATATATATTTTATTGAAAATCGAATTTTTTGTTTTTGAATGTTTTTGTAAAAAAATGCAATCATTCTTTGTTTCCTTTATAGACTTTCGAAACTTTGAATCATATATAGGTGAGTCGAATGACTAAAATTTTTGTTCACAATATAGTGTCGAATCGGGACTGTTTCGGAATTACATTTTAAATAAATTTGGTGAATCCTTAACATGCTCACATTTTTTTGCTTATAATTTCCGTTTATAAGTTTTTGCTTAAAAGCAAAATAACACATTATTTGGGCTTTTATGTTTTTTCGAAAATACAAACATTCAACCTTAAGGAAAACCCAATTTTTCCATTTTTATTTTTTACTTTGTTTTTCCCTGACATGAAATTTTTTTAAATTTTTCAAAATGCTTAGCTACTTAACACGTTCCCTGTCCCAATACAAAAATGGAAAATTGACCGACAAGTCAAACGAGGTTTTTTGAATAATTTGTTTTTTTTGCAGTCATAGTCCAGTGCAGAAACTGTACAGTTCCGTTACGTCAAGCCGAATAATTTGCTTTAGAAGTTTCATATCACCCCCTGACGCACATATGGCTCAGGAACGTATCAGTGCTTATCAAGCGCACGTTTCCTGAACCATATATGGCTCAGCGGACAGGGAACGGTTTAAGCTTTACTTTGAGTCATTAAACGTTTTCTCCAAAACGTTTCAAAATCTTTTATGGTACAAGAGATATAGAAAAATAACTATTCGAATCCAAGATTTTAAAGAGTTTATTAAAAAGTATTAATTTAATTACTTTTGTTTTTTATTTTTTATAATTATTTTTCTTTTTTATCAGTTTAAGTTGAAAAAATTATAAATTATTAATAATTTTATGTTAAAATAGTAAAGTATAGAAAGCAGTTGACATTTTTAAGAACCGTTATTTTTCAAAAAAAATAAAGAATTTTAAGAACTTTATTCAATCCAATTCATTTTAGAGAAAAACTCCTATTGTTTTATTTTTTGAAGTTTTTTCCACAAATTAACCTTTTTTACAGGGGCTGCGAAAATAATTAGTTATCGTAGGTGACTCAAACTGATGTCACATTATTCACCCTTTATCGGGGTTAGTTTTTTGGCCACCAAGTTCCGTGTTTTCAATTCCGTCCAACTTATTTCGCTTCTGGAATTCCTGAACAGCTTGAGAAATTGAGTGTTTGTACCAAAAAGTTGGAAAAAAGTAAAACCAATGGGATTTTCCACTAAAATTTATGTATTAATCTTAAAAATAAAATTTAGTAAAATTATGTAAATTTTATTTGAAATTGATAATAGTTGAGATTTATGCCACTTGAAATTAAAAAAAATTAAAAATAATGATAGTTTTTTTAGTTTATACATTTCTCCTTTAATATAAAAGATTTCTTAACGTTTAATAACTTAACTTAAAACTTAAGCAGCCAACCAAGATTCTGTATAGAGCTTTTGGAAGATTCAAAAGTTTCATGAGAAATTGTCGTGATAGAAAAAAACAAAATAATAAAACATGAGGAAAATTAGGTTTTTCCTAAAATTCGAACGCTTGTATTTAAAAAAAAAACAAGCCCAAATAACGTGTTATTTTGCTTTCAAGCCCTCTTTTAGACCTATTTGTTTGAAGCTTTGTTGGATGGAACAAGCAAATAAACTTGGGTATCCACATATGTTAGGATTTCATAAAATATCCTTCAAATCCCTGTTTTTTGGAAACGGTTTCGATTTGACACTATGTTCCGAACAAATATTTTGCTCATTTTCGAACGTCTACCCGAAATTATGTGGCTTCTAGCTTGTTGCTGAAGCACCTTGTATATAACAGCCTATTTAAAAGATATCTGTAAAAAGGAAAAAACTATGCATTTCATTTCGTTCACTAACATTCAAATGTATTATTTTAATTGAAACTTAATTAAAACTTTCATATTCATAGAATAATTGGCAAAAGTAAAATATTTAGTTTCTGCAGATTTATAAGTACATATGTATGTGTAAAAAACTTTTAAAACTTAATTTAGAACTTTCAGTGCATGTCTGAATTATCGAAAGTCCCTGAAATTATAGATGAAATAAGTAAATAAGTTAATAATTTACTTAATAAATTAGACCGTAATTCAAAGGAATAAATTATTTTGCATAATTATTTAATTGAAATAAAAACTACCTTGTTCTTGTTTTTTAATTCTAGCTACAAATTTATTTTATATTTTAATATGAAATGTGGTAGTCCTAAATAATGTTATTTTGTTAAGTTTTTTTACTTTTTCCTCTTAAAACATGCATAATTTTGATTCATAATTAAATAGAAGAAGCCTGAAGATTATTACATTATAATATACTTTTTTCACATTTCTTATATGCAACTATTATTAATTTTAATTATTTTATTTTTTTGTCTACCAGAAATTATATAAATTATTATGTTCGAAATTACCAATTAATATATTAAGCACAAAATTTAAATTTTATCTGAACTTATAAAATTTTCATTATTATTAAATATTTTGCAAAATTTTGAATCAATCAAGTGTTTTTTTTTTACTATCAAATGTTTTAGACTTAGTTTTTTACTTATATGTAAGAATATAATCGTAAAATCTATGTAATAATATTTTATAATTAAGAAATTTTTACAGACAATTTCTTTAGTATGTTTTTATCTTTTTTTTTTTTTATTTTTTTTTTCCTTTTCTTATAAAATTTGTTTTAATTTTATATTTTATTTTCGTGGTGTCGTGTTTTTTTTTTTATATAAGTGTGTGGGTGTGATTTTTAAATATATTAAATATGTCCTTTACTTTTTAAACTTTTCTTTAAACAAAAAAAAAAATAAAAGAGTGAATACAATTTAAGAAATAAAAAATTATTATACTTAATTAAGACAAAATTAGAGTTAAAAAGCAAAAATACAAATAAAAAAGATATTTTTTTCAATCACTTCGAATTTTTTTCGATTCAGGTTGACTATTTGATTCTGAGTCGCAGCAATCAATTGACCGTTTTGCACTGCTTAGGGAATCACTGTTCTCATCAACTCCCGTTGGAATACATTTTGTCAATGGCTTCTCTAAACTATCGTCTTCAGATCTTGTACTACTTTCATCTAAGCTATCCAACGCACCATTACCATTATTATTTCCGTTGGCTTTTGCGGTTTCTTCTACAGGATTTTGTTGCAACGGCGGTGGCTCTAAATTGCTCTCATCGGATATAACTGTGTTCAGTGGTTCACCACCAGTTGTTGTAGTTGTATTATCTTCTTCAACTGTGGTTGACGAAGCTGTAGTTGTATCGTCGTTAACCAGTAACATTGGGGATGGGATTTCATCATGAGATTGATGATGATGAATCGGTTGTAATGTATTTAACTCGTTATTGGTATCTTGTGAGTTATGTATAATAGGTTGTAGATGTTCTGTGTTGGTTTTATCAGTAGTCGTTATAGTTGTTCCATCTGTCGATGAAGTTTCAGAAATTTTGTTATTATCAATGCTGGTCTGTGTATTATTTGCCGAATCAATAACGGCATCTTGAGAATCATTTGAAATGGAATTTTCATCCGTTGTTATACTAGCTGAATCAATACCGCCTCCACCATCACCGTTTCCATCACCATTACCTCCACCATTAGTTTGTTTTACATCTGTTGTGTTTGCGCTATCATTTACGCCAGTAACGACACCGTGAATTACGCTGTCCTCATTTTCGTCTTCTTCACCAGAAATGCCTGAAAATTTATTTGAAGGATTAACCAACATACTTTGATTTGGCATATCATCCAAAAGTTCTGGTTTTAAATCTCTAGCCACATAATGAGTCCATAATGCTAGCTCAACACGGTGGGGTGTCCAGGATGAACTACTATCTTTTTCTGAATTCAATCGATCAACAGTTGTCTGAATATGCTGAACAAAATTTAAATATTCTTTTGTTGTATAATCAATTCCCTCTATTTCAGGAATCGCCATTAAACATTCATCAGCCATAAAAGGTGCATGATCAGGAGCAGCTGCTGCTAATAAAGCAGATGCCATTGTTGTACCAACACCCTTTAAATTTGACAAGGCAGTTATAGCTAATTCCAAATTTGGTAATTTTCTAAATGCTTTTTTAGTTTCTTGCATTACAGCACGTGGAGTATTTACTTTAATTAGATATGAAAGTTGTGGGTAATATTTTCCACGAGATTGCTTCCATTTCATGCATTGAACAAGTTCTTCGTGTACCATATGTGCGTCTTTCCCCCTCTGCCTAATTAATTTTGGAAGTTCATGTTGATACCAATTATCTAATTTAATGAGTTCCTCTGGCTTTTTTGAACGAGCTTCTGCTTTTAATTTTAATATTTCAGGATATAGTTTGTAGCAGTAATCAAATTGTTTAGTATTTCCATTTGCAAAAAATGACGCTGTGTCTTTGACCGAAGCCATATTGTAAAATATTTTGCTTTTATATTTTCAGTTAATATCTAAATATTTTACACAAAAGTAAAGTTTAGAATTTTTTAAAACGTTATTTTCATTTGTTTTTAAATAAGTAACGCAGGCGCATATATATTTTTTTGTTCTTAAATTTTTTTATAAAACTTAATTTATGTTTAAATATTACATTAGTACGTGATGTCTTTTTTTTCAATTTTATAACTTAAATTAACTATTTTTTTTAATTACTACTTTTCAAAATTTTGATGCAGTTCGAAACAATATGTAGAATAGTTTTTTAATAATTTATAAATTTGTTCCTTTTTTTTCGAACTACAACCAATTTTAATAAATTATAAATGTCACCTCCTCACACACCGCTCAGTGAAATAAAACTAGAAAAGAAAGGAGAGTTTGGCGTGCACTTTTTATAAACAATTACATGTATATATATGTCTGTGGTGTTCGAAATCTTTTCAATTATATAAAATAATTTGTCCAAACTCCATATAAATCTTCCATTTCATATTGAATATCCTACTTGTTTACTAGACTCAATTTTTATGAATTAGGGATTGAAGTCAAATAAATTTAACTTAAACTTAAAAAAACGAAATACCTACTTGGTATTATTTGTTACATACAAATTTACTGAAACGTCAAATGTCAGAAAATGTAATGGCGAACGATATCATTTATCGAACTCTTTCATGCAAATTGAAAAGAGAAACATACATATTAAATTTTATTAAATGCTTTAATGATATGTCAACACTGCTCATGAAAAGAAGCAAGCTGCCAGTTTTCAAAAAGGTTAAATGAGCTCTAACATGTTATCAAAAACAGTGTTGTCAATCAAAAAAAAATATCGTAGTGTTTTTATAATGGAAGGAAATTATAATATAAGCAACATGTAGAAGGGAAATAGTTTTTATAAAAATCTTATTAGAACAAATTAATTTCTTTATTAATTGCTTATTATCATAAAAATTAAATAAAATTAGATTTTACAAATTATCACCCAAAAAATTTTAAAAAGTATTAAATAATTTTAAATTAACAGTAGTTATGTAGATTTTCGGTAACCTTTAAGGAATCAACCTGGATGGGTGTATAGCATACGCAGGCACGAATATACGCGTGGAATAATCGAATAGAACCCAGAATATTTCATTTATTGTCAAAAGTTTGTTACATGTATTCTTTTTTTTTACAAAAAAATATCTCTGTAGTGTACAAAATCTTTTCAATTATATAGAACAATTTGTTCAAACTGCATATAACTCCATTTGTTATATAACTTTGTTTTTTGTTAAAATGTATGGATTTGGACGTGACCGTATGATCAAAATACGATAGAGCTGGATTCATTTGTTCTTTCTAACGAACTAGAGATATTGAAGAAAACAGCAACTTTGTTTCTATCTCACTTACACTCTCTAAAAAATCGTATATTGAAACAAAAACATAGCGAAATCAAAAACTTCAGGTAAGTCACTTACACATATATTGTGTTTAGAAAGTGCAAGTGAGATGGAAAAAAATGCTATTTCCTTTAATATTTCAATTCGTTATAAAGCTTTTTCAACTTTTTTCCTGGTGTATATTATTTTTGAATCAAATTTTTTTGTCTTTACGAGAAAAAACGCCACTGTTTTTCAATTTTGCGAGAAAAAACCCCACAATTTTTCAAGTTTGATACCAGACCCAATTATACCATGTGGACATAAAAGGAAAGATATAAAGGAAAACAGTAAGTGTGTTGTATAGAGTTTCACACGAAATGCATAATTAAAAAAATCGTGCTTGTCAAAAATACAAAATCATTCGTTTATCGAAAGAAGTGTATCGAAACGAATATCTTGATATTTTTATAAAAAATACCGATACTTGTAAAAGAATATAATGGTGTATTCTTCAAAGAAAAATCAAATTCAAGAGACAAGTTCTTAAAACAAAACATTAAAATTTAAGATCAGAAATCATAAAATATTTAACAAATTACGTTAAAACATATTGAAATTACATTATTGCATATTTAAAATGACTTCAGAAATGAGTAGTTCAATGCAATCTCGACAAATTGGAGAAGAGTCTGAATTTAGCATATTCCAAAATTATACTGCTGCAGAAGTATTTAATTTACATTTTTTCGGGAAATTGAAAAAACTGATTTTGAAAATTTTAAAGGTTTTTATTCAAGGGCTTGCTGGAATAGTTAATCAAAGTGATGTTGAAAGTATGATAAGAGCGCAAAAACATATGTAAGATTTTTTCCTATTTTGCTTCGGGAAATCATTGGTTCTTTACTTTAGGCTTCAGAGATTTGAAAAGACAAATGAAATGATAGTAAATTGTAACGCATTATCTGTGAATAGACTAAAAGTTGCTAGTGAGGATTTTAAAAAACATGTAAAGCTGTTGAATGATATGAAAAAAGATTTAGATTATATATTTCGTAAGATTCGCAACATTAGAACGAAGATTAGTCAACAATATCCAGAAGCATATGCTGAAGCGCTACCTCAACGTAATAGCTTTGCTGAAGAGGCGGAAGATGATGATGATGTTTTAAGTGTCGTCGAAAACACTTTAACAACAATTGCGAGTAAGCCATCATTAAATTCTAAAACTCTGGAAACCGATCAGACAACCATCGAATATGTTCAAATGGATGAAAATTCAGACAATGGAAAACCGATTGAGAATGAGTTAATTAAAAGAGTATGTTCTATAGAAAATCCAAATGTAAACGATTCATCTGATTGCACATCTGAGGATACTGGCTAAAAGTTTAAATGAAGGCTATAAAAAAAGTAAACTTATAGAATTAAATTAATTTTCTTTAAGAAGAATATAAATTGAAATTTGGTATGGGAACATTTAAGTATTTTATATACTTACATGTTTACATATGCTAGGTATGGTTGAGGAAAGCTTTTTGAGCGAAATTTTTGTAAAAAAAATTATTTGTATGACATGGACCATTATAGCACATTAACTATAAAACATATTAAAGAATCCGATAAATTATTCTTTAATTTATATTTTATCCGATAAATTATTCTTTAATTTATTCACCTTACTTGTTTTACATACTTAACTAAACAAAAAATATTTTAAAAACTTCTTAAAAGCATTACATCAACAAATAAAAATGTTTCATTCGACCTTTACAGATACTAATTGTATACATCTTGACAATCTGATTATAAAATCAAAAACCTACCTGAAGAAAATTTTTAAGATATGTATAAACTATGATTTGGCTTTTTGTTACCGAATTTCCTGATGTCACCCCAAACGCTAGCGAATTTCAACCGAATTTTCTGGTGCTACACAGCTACTCAGCTGAAATGCCAAGACATATTACTAAAACTTCTAAAATATATATGTGCTGCAATTGGACACATAGCTGCAACCCTTCATGCACCTTAGAGAGCTTTAATTCTTCAAATATTTAAAAACAGTCAATGAGCTGTGATTGAACACATGTCTTTAATTAAATTTCCCTAAAATTAGTAACAGTCCGTGGTAGAAATAAAAAAAAAATTTTGAAAGTTGGGTGGTGTTTGCTCTTTTAAAGTGAACATTTTTGATCAAAATCGCACTGGATCTTGTCTAATTAATTTGCTATAACTCTTGATCCCTTTGTCGAAACTGAAAATAATTTTATAGTAAAACTCTTAAAACTATAAAACTACTAACAAAAATTGAAGGAAATCCCATCGTTTAGTTTTGAAATAAAGTGTTGTTAAACTTCAAACGCGATTTCCTCGATTTAAAATTTATGGCGTGTGGATCAAAATAGCACTTAGCCGGTGAATTGTTGAACGAAAACTCTTTGTGCGAGGTATTTTAAGGACATAATATGTTTTAAAAAGTTTTTCACAGTTACAATATACTCGCGTAGGTTTATGCGAGATTGCTTTTTGAATTTAGTAAAAAAATTACATATGTAAGTATGTTAATTTAAATTCAGATAAAGGTAATGTACCACATTACTTTTTTCTTAATAAACTAAATTTTTCGAAATGGAAGCTATTCTTTTATAAAGCATTTAATAAACTATGATTTTCAAACAATAAAACTAATAAGAACGTCCGTAGTAAATTTAAATACGATTGATATGTATTTACTACATACGTATGTATGAATGTGTGTGGCTATTTTAAATTAATTTCCTTTGTACGAAAATTTTGGGAAGAGCGTCTAATATTAAACAATGCATAAAAGATAAATTAATTTCAGTAGTTGGTACCTACCTGGGAACTTTAAATTTTTTGATTGAGTTAAAAAGAAATTTGCGTTACATTTATGTATACATATGTATGTATACGTGAGATCTGTTTTATCAAAATTTTTTTGCATATAAAGCAAGTGATATCACTGGCGGAAAGTCAGTGATGAATTAATATTCAATTCGAAAGCAAAACAAAATAGCAAGGCATTAATCATCTTGTGTTTTAGTTATACCTACATACATACTTACACATTTGTTATGTAGATACATTGCTATTTTTTCCAAGAGTTTTCAATCATGCTAGGGGGATTTTCGAGTAATTTGTGTTTCAAGATAACATTTTTTGTATTATTATTTTTAAATGAGAGTTATGAATATTCTATACCAGTTCCAACTTTAGAAATATTATCACCTAAGGGGTTTCGAGTGTATATCCCAGGTAAGTTGAATTTTTGCTTTAGATATGCGGGATTTAGACTTTTTCTTTTTTTTGGCTTTATTTCGTTACATTATATGTATTTTCATTACGTTCTTCCCCTTTGTTTAAAGAATTTTTTTTTATTTTTTTTTAAATAACAATTATTCATTAATACAACTTGTTGACAGGTACATACATATATGTATATGTACCTACTCACCTACAGCCGAACTCGTTTATGCAAAATTAAATTCTGGTGGTTTTATAGTTTCCAAAATATGGCCTTATTATTTTTTGAACTTTATGACTTCTACTATAAGAGCTGCTTTCTAATTAACTATTATTTTTCTTTTAAAAAGTTTAACAACTTTTCGTTTAGCTGAATGTTTTAATTTGAATTTAAATGTTTAATCTGTGGCAAGTGATGATAGACCCCTAATTAACTTTCGCTGATTAAAGTATTAAAGGGTCAAAATATTTAAAACCAAGACAAGGTTTATTGTATATAAAAGTATGTATTTAGTATTAAATTCATTGCAGCGTTATCACCCTCAAAATTAAAACAAATACTTATATATGCATGTATATTTAAGCTTAAAGCTAAATACAATATTTAAGCTGGGCTCTGTTTGGTTCAACTCAGTTCCATTGTAAAAACTCAGATGTTTGGGGAAAGTAACGATCCATATATGTAACGAAGTATATGTATGTGCATGTATGTATGTACATATGGATATTGTATAAACGATTTGCATATCCACATATATGTACATATGTAGGTATTTATGTAAGTATATTATATACATACATCCATATGTATCTTTGCAACTTTTGGTACCCCAGAATGACGAGCATTTTATGTTTGTAATTATTCTAGTTATACGTACATACATATTTTATGTTGTTCTATTTTAAGATGAACCTGGTATTGCTTTGTTTGGGTTTCATGGTGCTATTAATAGAAAACTAAATGGGATTGAGCCTGGAGATTTCGAGGAAGATATTTTAAGGGCAAATAATGGTCATTGGATTTATGAGAATAAGAATCAAATACTCGAACCCGGTGACATTCTTTATTACTGGGTTCATGTGCAGCATAATAATCTTGGTTACCGACTACTAGATCGTAGCTTTTTGTTATCTAATGAATCAAAAGTTGATAATGGTTTAAATGAACATTCAAAAATAGATAAAACTTTAACCAAATTAGTGGAAAAGAAGACAGACGAAGATATAAGTGACGTTGAAAGATTACAATTGGTTGACGAAAGATTGAAATTAATCGAAAATCAACGTATAAGTAATAACAGCATTGAGAACTGTATTATATCTAAAACAACAGTAAACGGGCGAAAGGTTTGTAGTAAAGCGTTAATATTTGAAGAAAATTTTGATTATTTCAATTGGACTAAATGGGAACGTCTTATTCAAATTCCATCGGATAGTGAAGATGCCGAGTTCGTTTCATATCAAGATTTTCCAGAAAATTGTTATATTACGGATGGAGACTTGCATATTGCTCCAACACTTTTAAAGGATGCTCCAGGTTATAGTCAAGAATCTATAAGAAACGGTTTTATAAATTTTGGATCAAGGTAACAAATGCTGACATACGGTATTTTGTTTCGAAAAATAATGAACACATGCGTATATACATACTTGCACATTTATATTTTTTATTAGGTGTACCTCAACAATTGATATTGACGTGACATGCAAACGTGAAGCTGAATTCTCTAGAATACTACCACCGATTGTATCTGCCAAGTTGCGAACGAAACATTTTTTTTCATTTCGGTATGGTCAAGTAGATATAAGAGCAAAACTGCCTATAGGTGATTGGATTTTTCCTCGTAAGTATATTTTTTTCTCTTATTTAAGGCACACAAAATGCTTAACTTACTTTTTAAAACAACTATTTAGAGCTGTTCTTGCAGCCCCTACATAATGAATATGGTATAAATGGATACGCCTCTGGACAGTTAAGAATTGCGTTCATTCGCGGAAACTCTTTTCTAAGGACGATAAATAATAAAGAAATTGATGGGCGTACATTGTTTGGAGGGCCGGTTCTTGCCGTAGGCGAAAAGTTTCGGGACATATGGCTAAAAAGCAAAACTCTAGACGAACACTTTGGAAGTAGATTTCATGTAATGATATTATAATGCATGTACATATTGTATACTCATTAAAGAAACATTCGAATTTCCATTTTAAATTTTAGAAATATACTGTAGTTTGGGATGAGCACTCTATTACTCTGGCGCTAGACGGTAGAGCTTTTGCAACCTTTCAAAAAGGATTCAAGAACTTGTACGACATTTACAATATAACTCACGCCGAAAAGTGGGAATTCGGAGAAAAATTAGCTCCTTTTGATAAAGAAGTTAGCGAAATTTTTAAATTTTTTCTTTTAATTTACTAAATGCGTTTTTTTTTTGTGGCATTCCCAGTTTTTTTTAGAAATCGGAGTTTCTGCTGGAGGGATTTCTGACTTTCCTGATGGTAGCCGTTCTGGGACCCAGCGCAAATTGAAGCCTTGGCAAAATTTTAATCCAAAAGCAGAACTGAAATTTTGGAATGAAATTAGCACGTGGCATTCAAGCTGGAGTTATGACAAATCTGCTTTGGTTATAGATTATATAAAAGTTTGGGCAATATAAAATAGAAACCATCATTTAGCAAAATAAAAAAAAAACATTCCGAATGTTTAATTTAAATATGTTTTTTACTTCCAATTTTTTCATATACATTTTCCCAGTTATTTAAAATTACTCCATTTTCTAAGTTATGTATTTCTTTTTAAATGATTGAGTTTTTCTATGCTTCCTGGACACCTTAAAATACATAAACGTATAAATGTTAAAGCTAATAATATCGATTGTCCTAAAAACTCTCGCTTAACGCCATCTAAATTTTGAAATCGTTTAGTAAAATCTTGCGGTATTGAAACTTTGCTTTCTACATTAGTAGTGCTGTGCTCTATGTTTGTAGAACATGTTTCACTTGAAATATTTGCAACATTATAATGGTTTTTAATAAGTTTTAATATAACTTCGGATGTAGTAACACTTTCTGAGCCAATTAATGTGTCGAAAAGGCGCGAATGTAAATATCTTTTTAAAAAAAATAAATTTGGAAAAGATTTTGAAGACAAATTTCTGTTATTTTCCACCCATTTTCTATTTCTTAGACCGTAAGAAATAATTGCAATTATTTGAGATTTTTGTATATTTATATTAATTTGTGGAGGGCTTCCTGGTTGTGCCATTTGAGCTACCTTTGGGTTTTCTAATACATAGCAATCTGAATCAGGTATTTCGTTAATCAAAACTAAACATTGTTCTACTAAATCATTTACATGCATTTTTTTATGAAGAATGTCAATACAATTCCAATGTGTCAACGTACATAGGTCACTCACATTTAACTCAAAACGCGTCCATGAAATTGTAGATACACCAATGTAGAGTGATAGACATGTTTTCATATGCATGCGAAGGGATTCAGGTATTGGTGGGATTGAATACTGCATTCCGACTTTAGTTTTTTTTTTTCCATTTTCAAAATTGTTCCGGTCTTCACATTTTGGATTTAAAATCTGATGTGCAAGTTTTTCAACTATTTTAATGCCAATGCCGTTGATACTTATCAGGTCATTCATATTTTTGAATTGTCCGTTTACTTCTCTCCAAGCTACTATGCGTTGGGATCGTGTTTTGGCAATTCCTAAACTAAATAATAAAATAGAAAAAATTTTCTATCGTTTATTTAATACCTAATAAGCTCTTTTTCCGTTGAATTGTTGATAACATTTAAAACGCTTTCCTCATCGTTCTGGTTAAATGTTTTACTAAGCCCGGTCATACACAAATTTCGTAAGAATTTAGCTTTGTGGTAACATTCCTGAAAACTTCGTTGAGGAACCAGATTTTTTAATACGTTTAATTGAATCTAGAAAAGATTTATTACATTAAATAAAATTAACCCCACAAGAAAAACAAAAAACAATAGCTGTATTTGTACCATTATGCAAAGGCTAAAGTAAAGTAATTTCAGATAATATGTTCCATAAATTTTTGTCAAATATTGGAAGGTGGGATATAGAAAATAATCGATTAGGAAGTCGATTTCCGTGATAAAATTTTTAGAAAAATCGACTTCATGTTGTTACATTAGGTCCTTTACAAATTAAGCAAATTGTACGGTTTAGTTTGTAACGATCAAAATTTGAAACATATTTGATTTGTAAGCATCCAATCCCATTATACTAAATCGTATGAGAAAAATAAAATCTTGTCATATTTTCCAACCAATTTTTTGATAGTTGAAACAATTAAAAATTGTTAATACTAAAATTTTCGATCTGTTGTAAGTGTGACAAGCTGATTTTTATTCTTTTTTAACTACAATCATGAAAAAACGACAAAGTAATAGAAAATTTAACCAAAAAAAAGGTCTGTCTGGTATAAAAAAGTTTTTAAAAACTATATAAAACTTGAAGAAACTTTGTAAAGTTTTTGTGTCCCAAGCGTCATTTTCTCAATGTCTAAAACTTTTTCAAGTTTTATAAAGTAAAGTTTAGTGTTTTAAAAACTTTTGAAATTTTACAGCTGTCGAAACATACATTTTTCTTGGTATGTCAGAAGGTTTTATCTTCCAAAAAAATTTTTCCTTAACAATTTTTTTTTTTCAAAACTTTAATTAAAAGAATTTATTTTCTTTTAACCAAAATGGATTGTTAGATCATTTTTTCCCACTTTTATAATCCAATACCAAAAAATGTTTGTTTGACAAATATTTTGAAATTTATCACTTATTTAAGTTTTTTATGTTTTTTCAACTTTTCCGTTTGGTGAATTTTTTTTTCTTTTTGCCGAAAATTTCGTCATCGTTTCTCTTTTCAAAGTTCTTTTAAGTTTTATACCAGACAGATCTAAAATTTGAAATTTAGCTTGAGCTGTAAACGCGGCCTTGTAATTATTTTGTTCTGTCATATTTTTTATAATTGTTGAATCGAATTTAAAATTTTAAATACATAGATCAATTTGCGTTTTATATTGTTATTCTTTAAAACACGTATGTACATACATATATATTTATTTATTTATTGTAATAACCAAAGTAATAAAAAGGAAGAGGTTTCCTATTCAAATTTTTGTAAAACGTTTCAAATTCTACTTATAGACTTTTTTGCAACTCAATTCATCAATTACATAGGTCTGATTCTTATCTTTATAAAACAAAAATAGACACATTGTTTGTCTTCTGATTTTAACTTGTTTCTTTTTTCATAATAACTCACTGATACAGTGAGTTATTAAACAAAAATAAAAATTTGATGTGGTCAAAATAATTTAAGTAGTTTATTTAATATTTTGTTTAAAAAGAGTTATTTTGAGAAGCAATTTAAAATTTTAGGATAATATAAAGTTTTCTTCTTCTTTCTGTCTTTCTCACATCTTTCTCTTTCATATGTCAGTTTTTGAAATTCAATACGTCAATAAAATTCTCCTCAGCTAAAGATTTTAATGTTATATCGTATCATAAATCGATTTGGTCAGATTTTTTTTCTCTGTTAAAATTCTTTGTTTGCCCATCTAATTTTTGTTGTATTGTGTGGAATTACGCAATGAATTAGAAATGCTAAAGAAAGGAGCATCTTGGAAAAACAGTGAACGCAAATTTTTTCTGGTTGTCTCTCTTTTTGCTCCGAGCATTGTCAAAGTCGCTAGCCAGCCCATAGCCTCGCTTATAGCAGCCACCTCCACCTGAAAGACGCTGCAGTGGTCCGGAAGACGAAAGGAGATCTCCACCCCAAGTTCTCTGGAGTAGACTCCCCCCCAACTCTCTCGTTTAACTTGGAACTCGTTTCCACCCGTGTAGAAGTGAATAGAACCGCCCCAAATGTTGCCTTCGCTCCCCTAAGTTTGACTTGACGGGAGCAAGGTGTTAAGGTTTCTCGTGAATGAAAGCAGAGGAGAGACATAGTCAACCTTCTGTGCCACATCCTCGCCGCCTTCTAATATGGCAGCGTGAACCACAGGGCTGCCGAACCAATGTGATGCCGCTCTTAGCCGCCTCTGCCGCAATTTGCCTCCCCCGGAATATCAAATGGAAGAAGATGAAAAACTACCTCGAGGGCCTGTGTAGGGGATGAGCGCAACGCTTCTCCAATGCACATCAATGCCTGTGAGTCCCATATTGATGGACCGGCTAAGTCTCATCACTGCGGTGTAGAGACAGTGAACCATGCGTGATTCAATGGCTCTTGCCAGAGTAAAGCACAGTTGCCTTCCTCATTCTCTCCCTGATATTGGGTCCCCAGTTTAACTTATAGTCCAAGATCAATTCTAAGAATCTCGTCTCAGAGAAGAAAGAGAGCCCAGTTCCATTAAGTTTTGGCGAAACCAAACTTGGTATTTTGTATTTTCTGCTGAATATGACCAGTTCCGTCTTACGAGGGCGCACTTTCAAGCCAGTGCAAGCAGCCCAAGCAGAGACGAAATTAAGAGCTCTCTGAATCAACCCATTTAGGGCGTGTAGGTGCTTTCCCGACACAGCTACCGCCAAGTTGGCAGCATAAGCAACCATCTTGTAAATTTAAATCAAACTCACTATTTTTTTCTCTTTGAATAAATTTATTTTATAAATTGCAAATATTTATAAGTATTTTAATATCACAATATCTTATGACCCTCGAATATGAACATATTTTATTATAAAATTTCTTATATTATCAGTTTTGGTTGACAATTTTACTGAAAAACTCTAAACAATATTAATAATAATAAATATAAATGCATACTTATAAATTGTAATAACTTTAACACAGTATAATTTTTAACAAATTTTAATTAATATGATGGTTATTACTCACCTTATTCATTAATTGAGCTTTACATACTTATTCATTCTAAAACAAATATTTTAGAATATAAATAATTTACGCTAATATATTATTTTATTTACTGAATTCAACTGCATCCGCACGTCTTCATATATTTTTTTGGTGACCACTCTATAAAGCGAAATATATTTCATTTCATCATTTCTAGGAAAACTCTAATTATACAAAAAAATAAAGTTGGGTCAAACCAATGGTTTGTATTGTAGCACTTTTCCCATCAACAAGTGAAAATTCTGCTTTTAAATACAGTCTATGTATACCTATCACACTAAAATTATTTTCATTCATATACAAAACTATTTCTAGGATTGCATATATTTAGGATGACGCATATATGCAGTCTTTGAAATAAAGCAAAAATTAATATAAAGTGGGGTTAACATAACGCTCGATTTTAAGGGTTAATTGCGTGAGTTAAGAAAAATAATTATATTTTTTAATGTCATGGAATTTACCGTTAGCTTTTTGTGTTTATAGAAATTTGAAAAAGCTTGTGGTTTCAGAAATATAACGTGTCAAAAATTCAAATTTTACAAATTTCAAGAGGCGATAACTTGAGAGGGGGTGGAGATGGAAAAAAATTTTCTTCTAACGAAATGAACTTTTTGTTAATGTCTAAAAGCCCCTAAAATTTCAAGCTTCTACAGGCTGGGGTCTAGAAGAAAAACGAAATCAAAAATATGAAAAAAAAAAGACTTTACATAACGGTAAATTTGGACGGCCATTTTGTTTTTCTAAAGTTTAACTATAGTATACCGTGCTAGGGGAAGCAAGCCGCTGCCTTTCTGCGTTTGCAAAATTTTAAAAATGCTTATGGTTTCACTGCAACAAATAGTTAAAAAAGGCCATTTTTAGAGTTTTGGGGGGGTATAACTTCTAGAGGGGGGGTGATAGGTAAAAATTTTGGTTTACGGAAATAAGTTTCTAGTGAAGATATATGTACGTATTAAATTTCAGCTTTCTATCTTCAAAGGTGTAGAAGTTTTGTAAACAGACACACGGACAGACGGACGGACGGACGGACGGACGGACGGACGGACGGACGGACGGACAGAGTGAAACTAATAAGCACTTTTTTTCAAAAATTTTTTGGAAAAGTGCTAAAAAGATCATTTAAAATATTTGTTTGTCTTCTTTGTTTACAAAATCTTCTTTATTTAGTTTTTATATAGCGGTGCGTAATTCTCTAGAAAAAAAATAAAACATTTACATTTGGTATTTAAAGTTAGTTTCATTTTGACAATGCTCGGATCAATAGACTTACCTGAAGTTTTTGGCTTCACTATGTTTTTTTTCAAGATACGATTTTTTGAGGGAGGGCATGCGAGATAGAAACAATGAAGCTCCTTGTTTTATTATTTTTAATTCGTTGGCATGATCATTCAGTGTTGTAGTTTATATTTTGTGTTTCATCTGATGTTTCTATCTAACAAGTCCCAATGCTAAGAGAGAAATTTGAAAGCACAATCTTTTTTATATGGATTTTTAATTCGAAATAGCTATTTTTTGAGAAATAACAAAACAAACTCATACTTATTATAAAGCAGATAAAATTCCGCAATCTATTTAAAAAACCAATTAAATATAATAATATTTTCATTCGCAATTATTTTAAAATTCTTAAAGTACATGCAAAAAAGCAGAAAAACTACAAGCGGAACCTTCCCCTTCAATATTCTATATGGTATTGAAAGCATTTCATTATTTTTAAATGAGGACCTTTTTACCCATAGGGTAAGTTGACTTAAGATATGGGGAGTAACTGTAGTGTTAAGTTGAAATATAATTAGTGAAAGAATAATTACTAAATAATGATACGAATACATAGTAAAAATAATTTGAAGAGGGAATTAGAAAGTAATATCTAAAATACAATTAAATATTATTTTACCAATACAAATTTTATATACACTTCAAAATTCTACCCCTATTTTCATTTAAGAAAAATTTTAAAAACTTAATATATCAATTACCTAAGCAAAAAAAATATTTAAAATTCTTTGAAAAAGACAATCATATATTTTTATGACCGGATTTGAATATTTTTTTTTATTTTTGAAATAAATAGTATCTTAGCAAATGAATCAAAAATTCCGATAGTAAAATAACAAGTACTTACATACATATGTACATATGTAAATTTTTGTTTATTTGCGTTGAGTATTAAAATGGGCCATACATACACAGGCATTGTTTCATTCAAAAAATGGCACATAAATAGATTACTCTTGTTTACCTACAAGGAAAAAGTGAAAGAAGAGCACAAATAAATTTTGCACGTACTAAATAT